TCGCCTCCTCTCCCCAGCCGGTTCCCCCCCACCAGAGGGGCTTTTTCGCCCTTTCCCCCCCCTCCCCAGGCATCCCCCGCAGCCGGGCCGGAGCGCGCACGGAGCTGCGGCACAAACGGGGCTGGCGGTTCTCGCTGCCTCCTTTCGCAGCCTCCTCCATCTCTATCTTTCTCTTTCTTTAATTTATGACCTCTCAGCTCCTGTTGACACAGTTTTCCACACTGCCTATATTGTAGGATTGCATTGTAATATACGCCGAATGAGCCCAGCCGGCAGCCGGCACACGTAAGGGTGGGTATTTGATATTTCGCAGCTATTTGGTAACGCTCGGCTCCATTTGAAGATGACAACAATTCGCCTCGCCTCCAAGTTACCCATGAATTACAGCTTGAGATCCATTTTCCTTTTGTAATGTCTTCAAGCTTCCCACAGCAAAACACCTCAATAGCTACGGGAGATTTCCTCCTGGCCAGGCCGTTAAACAAACATTTAACTACTCCCCTTCGATAACTAAACCTGCTTTCCGCAGATGCTGCTTTTTCCTTCTTTTTTTAAAAATTTTATTTTATTTTATTTTTTTTATTGCAGAAGCAGGAATAAGGCGAAATATTTATATATTTGTTAGTAAAAGCTAGCAAATAAGCTCTGCACATGCTGTAAAAAATATTCGGTTACTTACCGATCAGAGCAGTCAAACGAGCACGAAAGGGGTTTGAGGAGAAGAAGCCATCCGGGCGAACGCTGGCCGAGGTGCGGAGGCGCAGGCGGCGGGCTGGAAAAGAAAGAGTTAGAGTCGGGTTTATTGTTAGTGTCCCACAGCAATTCTTTCTGGAAGAAACCCCCGCCTTGCCGGCCGAGCTCTCCGCTCCCCCGGAGCCGCCCGCAACCGGGGCCAGCCTTTGGGTGACTTGGGTCGCCAGCCTTTGGGTGACAGACGGGGCGGAGGAGCTCCGTCTCCCTGCTCAGGGGAGCCGCCGATGGCTCTCTCTGTGTCTACGAACCAGCAGCCCCAGTACGCGCCGCCGGGGCAATGCCTCCCACACCGGGCCGCCGGTGCCGTCCCCTCCGAGACCGGTTTTATGCGTTCCTCTACGCCACCGGCACAAAGCGCTTCGTAAAAGCGCCCTCGGAGCGTCTCGAGCTCTCACATAGACATTTTCTCTTTTTTTTTTTTCCAAAAAAATCCTTGGATCCATACCGTACCTGCTTTGAGATTATCCGATATTTAAGTTTTAATGAGTTTGTTGGGTTTTTGGTTGTTTTTGTTTTGTTTTGTTTTGTTTTTTTCTTTCTTTTTTTTTTTTTTAATGCAGATTTTACAGTAAGGCATCTGCTAAACACTTGCATTAACCTCTGCCTCCATGATAATTTTTCCCCCCTTGTTTTAATTACATTATGGATGCGGAGGGGCAGCCAATCCTAAAAGAGGAGCTGGGCAAGGAGCAGGGCGAACATCAAAAAGTTTTATTGCGGAGGGCGGCGGGCCCCGCCCCCG